GAATAAAGTAACTGTTTAAATAATGTTTGAAAGATCCAACTGCATTGCATAAAATTATATAACCTGTAAATCATTTTAAAATAATGTGCTAATTTTATTTTCCAAAACCCTCAACAAGACCACACCTCTCCGAAATAAGAGGATTAGCTCTCTGGGCTCCAGACTGATGCCTGTGTTTAGTCCTAGCTAATATGCAAAGGGACTTTCTAAAATTTCTTAGCTGCTCTGGAAAGCAGAGAGCGCTGCTGCTAAAGCTATGTTATGTGCCTTCCCATATTTCACAAGTAACAAAACAATTCACAGAAAACGTACAGAAGAGCAGAAAAGAGAAATCTGTTCCCAGGGGCTGATTATTTAGACTAGAACTCTCCAATGTGCCATTTACTAATTCAGAAGCGAGAAAGTAAACAAACTATAAATGTTCCAGGGGAGTCAACTACACCTCCCAATGATACTCCGTGTGAAAGTTTCTCAGGCCTAAGGCACCTGCTCTGTTTGCTTTTTGCCCCGCCTAGAGAGAAGTGTCACCAATAATAACAACGCTAATTATAATGGACAATAAATGATAATGTGTGGGTGACCATAGACCAAGGAGCTCTGGGAGTCTTCATTAAAACAACAGCACAAACTACAACCTCTGGAGGCATGCTATTATAATTATTAGATGTTTACGTACCCTCATCAACGCGCAAAGTTTTTATTAGAAAGTCCCTCCTTTGAATTTTTAATTATGGAAAAATTCCAAGGCTCACAAAAGTAGAAAGAATAGTATGACGAAACCTCGCGTCCCCACCATTCAGCCTCAACGACTCCCAAGTTTTTGCTCATCTTGTTTCATCTATCTCCTCCATTTTTCTCCTCTTGGGTTGGAAAATTTTAAAACAAATACCAAAACATGTAGCATTTATTGACTATTTCGGAACGCACCCCGAAAATGTCACAATAATTTCATTGGTCATTGCAAAATGTACCCGCAGGACAAAAAAAGAGGGATCGTAGCAAACTCTCCTGTGGAGGAAGGGGTCACCACAAAGGTAGGTCATCTGGCTGTTGGCGCTTAGGAGGTGCGAAGCTAGCGAGGTATCCCCCCCGGGGCAGGGGGCGGCCGGGAGAGAAGGCACAGACCCTAAGGGCAGGAAACCGGACGCCTGCAAAGCCGCCAACTCAGGCATGCGCAGCGCAGACCCCAGAGTTGCTAAGGCCCCAAGGAAGACAGAGGGGCAGGAGACGGTGAAAACCAATCAGAGGGCTCGAAGACTAATCAGTTAGCCAATCCAGATTCGAAAGTGAATCACGTCCTCCGCACTTTGCTCACCCCACCCATATCCAATCAGAGAGCCGGCTGCTTTGGGCGGACTTTTCAAAACAGCGAAAACAAAACAAATCGGGGACCTTTAAAAGGTGCAATGCGACCAGAAACGATCTCCTTCCGCCCCTCAACCCTCTCGCTCCCGCCACCCTCCTCCTCCGGATCAATCGCGGAATAAATCCGACGCCCAGATTGCACCCTCCGCCCTGGAACCTGGCGGGAGGACAAGCTCGGCCAAGCCTAGGAGAGCCGAGGAGCCGAGACAGCTGCCTGGAGCGGAACTCTTTTTCGAATTCTGTAGAGGCAGTGGAATATCCCTCCGCGGGGAGTCACGTGCCCCGCCCCCTTGGGGGCGTCGAGAACTCAAAACAAAAACAAGGGGTTTGCTCGGGCCTCCGCTGGGGCGCTGAGGCTGCGGCGGCGGCGGGGCTGTGAGGGGCAGGCCTCGAGGGGCCGGCGCGCGCCCCTGCGGACGGCGGCGCGGGGAGCGGGATGGAGCCGGGGCTGTGAGGCCGAAGCGGCGGTGGCAGGGAGGAAGGGTCGGATGCGGGTCCGGGGGCAGCGCTGAGGCGGCGGGTCCCCGACCTCGGAGACCGGCTCGGAAGTCCCCGCCGCGCCCAGTCCCTGCGGACCGCGAGGCCGCGGGCCGCTGGAGGCGCGTCTGCGGCACGGTGAGTGGGCCCAGCCGGGATCGCTCCGGGTTTCTTTGTTCGTGGTCGGAACTGCGGGGGGAGGTGGTACAGTGCCTCGGTGCTGCCCACGCCTCGCTCCCGGAGCTTGCCCTCAGCCCCGGCCCTGTGGGAGTTGGCGCCCGGCGACGGAGAGATGCTGGTGGGCTGGAAGGAGGGGGCGACGAGGCTAAAGGCAGTTCTCCGCTTCGGTGCCCTCCTCCCGCGTTTTGTCTCGGGGCTCGCCGGGGTGGTGCTTCTTGGATTGACAGCCCCAGGGCTCTGCAGAGTTGCGGAACCGGGGCATCCGCGGAGGGACGAGTGCTGTCCGGGCGCGGGGCGGGCTGGACTTCCGTCCCCCGACCCCAGCCGCGTGGGCCGCGCCACCCTGCGGCGCTCTCGCCCTAGGGTGTCTGCCACTCTGGAACGTCCGGAGCAGGCGCTGCCGCAGCGGATGGGGAAAGCTTGAGGCCTGGACTCGAGCGAGAGGGGCTTCTGGAACTGGGCCCCCGGGGCGGGGCGGGGCGGGGCTGGGCTCCGGAGTCTCCTCCCTCTGGTTCTTTGTTCAGTCGCGAGACTTTCCCTCCCCTCCCCCCTATTGTGCAGCTCCGCACCCCCAGAACCCTCTGCAGTCGCTGCCCCCCGGTGCAGTCCCCAGGGCACAAGTCCCTCCCGGGCGACTTCAGGTGTGGCGGACCGCGGGACACCGACGCCCGCGGGCAGTTTCCTGTTTGTGAAACGGCTGGCCGGTCTGACCCAGCGCTGGCCGGCCGACGTGACCGCGGCCCCTCCCCCTGCCACACCTCCTTGACCGTGGAGAGGATTGCCCTGGGCTTCTGGCGGACGTGACCGGTCCCCTCACCCGCTCCTCGCCGGGGTGTGCTGGGGCGCGCTGGGGTGCCCCTCCCTGGAGGTATTGGCTCCAGTCTTTTCTGCCCTCCTTCCCCACCCCCGTCACCCTCACGTTACATTCTGTGTGGTGTCTTTGCTGCAGATGAAGGATTTGGGGGCAGAGCTCTTGGCAGATCGTGAAGGGGTCCAGCTCCTTGGATTGTTGACCCTCTACCTGGAGCAAGAACAGAGATTCCAACCTCGAGAAAAAGGGTTGAGCTTGATCGAGGCTACCCCGGAGGTAAGATGGCAGAAAAGATAACTCGCTCAAGTAGCTGATAGGGCTTGGAGGAGATAACTTTTTTTTAACCCCAATTGAATCATGACTAAAGACTGCAAAGTTTAAGACCAAAACTGGTGTTACTGGAGTATCAGGGTAAACGTTATTACAGGGTCATGCTTTTGTTTCTTAGCAAGAATGAGAGTAGTGGTACTTACTGTAGAGAAGTGTTCAAATGTGGCATTCCCAGCCTGCAGCTTCTGGGTGGGAGACTCCTTGTGAATTGAGCAGTTCGTTTGTGGAAATTGCTCTGCTTATGGAATATTTATTTATAATAGGATGTTAAATGATTTTTAGAAAGGCTCTATCTTCATTCTAAGGGAATTGAATTATATTTGCTGTAACCCTCTGGAATGTGGCAACAGTTCACCGTATTGAATTGCTGAAGTGCTTTTATGATGTGTATTTTTTTAAAGCAACGATTTCCATGTGATAGAGTGTATACCTTAAGTATATACTTTAAGTGATTCTTCCCTATGTTCTTGAAGATTAAGGCAAAAAAATTACTTTATTCTTTGAATCTGTATATTATCCATCTAGTTCTAAGAAAATTGTAAACTTTGGCTCTTGGTTTTGATTGCAGAATGACAACACTTTGTGTCCAAGATTGAGAAATGCCAAAGTAGAAGATTTAAGGAGTTTAACTAACTTTTTTGGATCTTGCACTGAAACTTTTGTCTTGGCTGTCAATATTTTGGACAGATTCTTGGCTCTTATGAAGGTATTCAATCATTTTTTTATTAGTACATCTTCATTTTCCATGCCCAATGCTTAGCACACAGGGGTTCAGTAAATATTTATTGAGCGAGTGTAATAATGCCCACTGTACATGTTTATAACAATCAGAATTGATTATTTGTAGTCTCTTGGTACTAGACTAAGAGAGTACAGAATTAAGCATATTGGTGTATTTTAAGTTAGCTTTTGCTGTACCTCTTAAGTACTGTCTCTTTGAAGATCTGACAAAATGGAGACTACTGTGTTTTAGGTATTCACTGTATGTAACAGTCCTCAAAATAAGGTTTTCATATTTTCATCTCCCATCATGTTTCTCTTGGAGCCTAGATGTTCTTAATGTTGAAACATGACAAATGAAGTGTAGCAGTGCATGAAAGGTGACCCACTATAAGTCTTTGCAAAGCAGGGAGCCACGGTGTATTAACAGTCACCGACAACTGTTAAAAAATGTGGTGATTCTTCTGCCAATAGGATTGCTGTCAGCTGCTGGGTCAGTTTTCAGGGCACTGAAAAGAAAAGGGCAGCCATCTGTCTGTGGCAGATTTTACATGTGTCCCACTCTGCATTACTGATGCGATATTTCTCTTGGGCAAAATTACACTGAAGTGTGGAATGATTCTTAAAGATTTTTATGTAAACAGATAAGTAGAAAATGTTATTTTTATATCCAGAGAAGCAGTATATTTTTTTGGTGTTGAAAGGCTTAATTTATTTTGGGGGTGATTTTATTATTATGAATTTCATAAGTCTGAAATGTAAAGTGTAACTCACTGCTAGAAATCTAGCTTTTGAACCTGCGTGGAAGTTTTTTTTTTTTTTTACCTGCATTTAAATTTAAATTAAGTGATATAAAAGTTCAGAAAGCCTCTTTTACTTTAAAGGGAGGTTAAGAAAGTCTAAAATGTGAATATGAGTGTAAGTGTCAGTGAAGGGCGATTACATACAAGGGAAGCAGCTTGATTGTGTTTTGTCTCAACAGTAGGAACATCATTATAATAATCTTTTAAGTGTCTTTGCTAAATCAAAGTGACAATTGTTGAAAGAAGCCTTTTGTTCTTTGTTTTTTAGGTGAAACCTAAACATTTGTCTTGCATTGGAGTCTGTTGTTTTTTGCTGGCTGCTAGAATAGTTGAAGAAGAATGCAATATTCCATCCACTCATGATGTAATCCGGATTAGTCAATGTAAATGTACTGCTTCTGACATAAAACGGATGGAAAAAATAATTTCAGAAAAATTGCACTATGAATTGGAAGCTACTACTGCCTTAAACTTTTTGCACTTATACCATACTATTGTACTTTGTCATACTTCAGAAAGGTCAGTGGGACTAAAAATAAAAGTTTTGTACTTTGAGCATTGCCATAGCTAACAGTGAAGAATTAGAATGAGAGTGAAATTTATAATTTTACCCCCTTCAACTATGCACCTTGGACTTCTAGTTGCAAGTCCTTAAAATCATTTAAGGCCAGGCATGGTGGCTCATGCCAATAGTCCCAGCACTTTGGGAGGCCAAGGCAGGGGGATCACTTGAGGCCAGGAGTTTGAGACCAGCCTGGGCAACATAGTAAGACCCTGTTTTACAAAGAATAAAAAGAAAATCATTTAGATCTTTGGAAGTTTAATAAATCTATATTCTTTCTTTGCATTGTGTAGGAAAGAAATACTGAACCTTGATAAACTAGAAGCTCAGCTGAAAGCTTGCAACTGCCGACTTGTCTTTTCAAAAGCAAAAGTAAGTCAATTTCTTGTTTACATATGTCTTACAGTTTCTATTTTGAATTTTAAAAAAACTTTTTTTTTCTTGTAGCCATCTGTATTAGCTTTGTGCCTTCTCAATTTGGAAGTAGAAACTTTGAAATCCGTTGAATTGTTGGAGATTCTCTTGCTAGTTAAAAAACATTCCAAGGTAAATATCTTCAGTTCTTATTCTTTAAAGCAAGTTTCTTTCCTAATGTTTTATTTTTTCTGTGGTGACTTAAGCACACTCATTTTTTCTTGTATCTCAAGTGTTAAAGTTCTCAATATGCAGCTTTGACCCAGATGGTATTAATTTGGAGGGGAACTTGGTCACTTAGCCCAGCTTCTTGCTGCATGTAGATGTCCCTTCTGTAGTATTCATACCATATGGTAATACAGCTGTGTACATTGCCACACATGCGTTGTTCTAAAATTCATACTGGGAAGTAGACCTCAGTGTATGCACTAATGGGATAGGATGGCATTCATTGCACCTATAGGGCTGAATTATCATCCCATTAGTAGCTTCACCACATAACGTCAGCAATGTTGATGTTTTAAACCACAATGTCTCTTTTTAAACCCCTTAGACAAACAGCCCAGTAAGTCTTTGCAGTCATAAAGAGGTGTAAAACAAACAAAAGGTTAAAGTCTTAAGCTAATAGTCTCGTGGAAATATGGAGATTAGCATGAGGTGGTGTGTTCTGTCATTTGTTATTGTGTCTCAGTGCCGGGTAATAATGAATACAGGGAGTCTTTGGGGTTTCATTAGCAAAGAAGTAGGGCCGATCAGAAGCACTGTGACTGGGAGCCTGGCTGGAGCAAAAGCATCTTTGACAGTGAAGGTTCGGCCAGCAAAGGCTTATGGCCAAGAAATTGGTGCACTAGACAGGTTTGGGAAGTCATTTTATTTTTAAAAATTTTTTGTATTTTTGGTAATGAGTTATGTATTTTTTAAATTTTATTTTTCAAATTTCAAAATATTAAGTGGGTAGAGATGTTTTTGTTGCATGGATACCTTGTATAATGCTTAAGTCAGGGCTTTTGGTGTGCCTGTCACCAGAATAGTGTTCATTGTACCCAAGAAGTCATTTTAGAGTAGGCTTCCAGATAGAGTGTCTGGGTGATGGTCACAAGCAGGAGTAAGGCTATCAAACTGAAACAGTAGTTTTGGAAGCTAAGCATGGAAATGAGGCAGGGAGTCATGAATGACCAAAATTTGGACCTAATGGTGGAGAGAATATTGGCATCATTGGCAAGAAATTTGGGAGATGTTAATTTGTCATGAAAGTATGATTTTAGGTGCTTGTAACCCAGGTAGGTAGGTGTCTAGCAGGTATTTGGCTGTCTGGAATAAAAATTCAGAAGATAAACCGTAGTTGGAGATTGAGATTTGGAATTTCTCATGAAGAAGCAGTTGTTGAAACCATAAGAAATTTGTGGAATCCTTTGAGTAGGGTGTCATTTGAAGCTCTGGGGCTTTCAGCATTGGCCTTGCTCCCACTGGGAGCCAAGTGAAGGAAGGTACATCCTGACAATTAAGAACAGCGTCAAATTGGAAAGAGGTTTTTAAGAAAAAGGTGGTCAAGAGTATTGGATTTTGATGAGAGGTTCAATATAGTGAAAACTGAAGGAGGTCCCTGGGTACCTTGGAGGTGGTGGCAGAGCAGTGAGAAGGGAGTGATGGAAGTCAGAGTAGCAGGGGGTTAAGGTGCAGCCGTATCAGGTGGAGATGGAGGCCAAGGTGATACACAGACAAATCATCTTCTTGTGGTGAAAGTACATGTGTGTAAGTACATTTTGTTTGTAACATAGATAACTTTATAGGTTTTGTTTTTACCATGATTTTATTAGTTTTCATCTGAACTTTTTATTGATAGCAATATCTAGAAACATCTTCAGTGAAAATTGATTCCTTGAAATAAACTGGGGCATTCCCCAGTGGTGGAGGAACTTTTTGGGAAAATTCTCTTCTTTTGCTCACTTCTCCTTTAGTTTGTGTCTGGTGTTGTAATGTAAATATATATTATTAGCAATCCAAACAATAAATTGGTTTCTATAACAACATGTTTCTGTAACAGAAGGAATGTTAAATTCCTTTGCATTGAGACTGTTAAAATAGTTGGATTATTAACAGACCTAGAAAGTTTTTAGGCCAGTGTGTTTTCTTAGAGTAGACAGAGAGAGCTTCTCTATGTACCGAATCCTATGTAAATTATACTTAATGGTTCTCTTCCTCCAAACCAGTGGTTTCCAAATTTTGGCTGCACATTGAAATCACCTGGGGAGCTTTACAAACTTGTTGCCCAGGTCACACTCCTTATCAATTAAATCGGAACATCTGGGTTGGGAGCCAGGCGTCAGTATTTCTTTGCAGATTGCCTGGTGATTCCAAGGTGCAGCAAGGTTTGGGAGGCACTGCTATAATTTCTTCATAAATACTTCTTTTCAGATTAATGACACCGAGTTCTTTTACTGGAGGGAGTTAGTTTCTAAATGTCTCGCCGAATATTCTTCTCCTGAATGTTGCAAACCAGATCTTAAGAAGTTGGTTTGGATTGTTTCAAGGCGCACAGCCCAGAACCTCCATAACAGCTACTATAGTGTTCCTGAGCTGCCAACAATACCTGAGGGGGGTTGTTTTGATGGAAGTGAAAGGTAAGCAGGTTCCTTGACTAATTAAACATCCCCAGAGTAAATATTACTGATTTTATACTCAAAACAGAACTATGGTGGATTAATACAAAATAAGGCATCAGAGAAAGCCCTACTCTAACATCATTTCTTCAGGTAAGAAAATTAACCAGAAGTAGTTTTGTTGAAATAGGTAATGATTTATAAGGCCTCCCTCCTCCTCTAAAAACTGGTTGTTTTTCATCTTCCTTCTCATCTCCCTTGCTCTTTTTAAAATTTTGTTTGTTTATTTATTCATTTATTTTCCCCTTGCTCTTTGAAATAGAGTTTAGTGAAAAAAAGAAAGAAAGAAAGGAAAGAAAGAAAGAAAACCTGAAGACTGCAACAGCATATTGGGCTTTTTAATGTTAGTTTGAATTCCTGATACGGTGCTATAGGGAAGAGATCGAGGTGCCCCTGGCCTAGGCAGTAAAGGGAACCACCAGCACTCACGGGGCAGACTTCTATAGATGTTCTTACAGTTTTGTCCAATGTTGTCGTCTTATTCAGTTTAATTATTTCTGTTTGTAAAGTGAGTTATTTAATTTTACTAAATTTGACTGTTCTATGCTGTAGAGATAAAGGACCAGAAGTTTCATTTTCATAGCTTGTTAGTTTCTTGCTTTGATATTTGAGAGTATCAGTGATGCCATTACTGACGTAGGAAAGACATCTAAATAGATGCTGTGATACAAGATATGTTGTCTGTAGTCTGCATTTATCGGATTTAAAATATGTAGAGTGCTACAGTTAGTTGCCGATAGTTATTCATTGGTACAAGAATAATAGTTTGGCAAACAGTAATTTGTTTAAACTTCTTAAGAAAATCTGCATTTTCTGATGAAATTACTATAGACTTCACTTTAGGAAGTCCTTATAAGTTCTAAATGTGGTCTCTGTAAAGCTTACATTTTGAATATAAAAAAATCCTAAGATTAGAAATACTCATATAGCGGTTTTATTTTGCTCGTCAAACATTTCAGTGTAGTTTAAGTAATGCTATCCTCTTTTGTCTGTCTTTTTCCTTTTAGTGAAGACTCGTGTGAAGATATGAGCTGTGGGGAGGAGAGTTTCAGCAGCTCTCCTCCCGGTGATCGAGAGTGTACCTTCTTTTTCAACTTCAAAGTGGCACAGACACTGCGCTTCCCATCTTAGAAATCTGGTCGTTCTGTGTTAGAATTTACATGTACAAGTTTCAAAGCAATAAATGGGGGAGTAGGTAGTTTTCTGGTTCAGCCCCCATCTAGGCAGGAATCACATAGACTGGAATACCTGCCTTCTATTTATTATTCAGATCAGATCTGGCCTATTTTCATATTTATCCTAAGCCATCAAATGGGTTAGTGCCTCTTAAATATAACAGTAATTTAGACATTGGCACTTTATTTTTCTCTTGGATCTTTAGGTACTTGGGGTAGGAGGGAAGGTGCTTATACCTTCAGTTTATTACTTTTCATAAAAATTTTTAAGGATAAATAGTGTAGCTTGAACATTTATAAAGCCTTCAGGTGTCTTTATTGAAGCAGATCGGAAGTGTGCAAGTGCTTCCTTAGCAGGGACAATGGATAACCCTGTAGTGGTTTATCTCAGATTTCCCCTCCTTCCTTTCTCAGAACAGAGAATATACTCTTAAATGTCAAACACCATTTTTGGTTTTGTTTTTTTAAATGATCAGTGTGTATCTGATGCAGTTCCTATAAATTTAGTAATTATATTGACATTTCTGTGAATTTTGGTATGTAATGTCTTCATTAAAGTTTCTGCTAAAGCAGAAATAATCGACAGGCTAAGGCTGTTAGTTGCATTCCTAATGCCTAGTATCGTCAGACTATAGTATTATTTTAATGGTATTTAAAAAATTCGTAATCTGCTAGTTTTGCATGTGTCTGTATGAAAGCAGTGCAGGAGGTTGAACACAACTAGGTAACTGTGGGATTGGTAAGTGTTGATCTAGTAGTACTTTTTATCTCATTTTCTTATATTAAAAAATGTCTGCATGATTGCATTTTATTTCCTTTGTAATTCACATTTCAAAAATAATGTATTAGCATATGGGTGCCAAGATTGAATATGAAGTGAAAAGAACCCAAGTGTTTGTAGTATTATAGTTTTAAGCAAATCTGTGTGATGATACAGCCATAAGAATGGGGATATGTAAACTCTGTACACGTAAGGTTTTGTACAGAGAATTTTTAATTTTTATAAACTGTATATGAAAATGTAAATCTTTAAAAATGTACATAAAAATACTGTATTTTTTTACCTTGTGTGTGTGTGATAGTCTAGTCATTGCATGTAAATATAATTTATTGTGTATTCTGAATTATAAATCATACATCGATGACTTTTTTACTGGTAAGTCAACATCCATTGGATGTTTTCAGAAGTGATCCCTTTTTGAAGTAATAATTACATTATAATTCAAAATAAAATTATTGATGAATTCTCCTTGTTTGCAATCACATCTTAATTTTTAATCTTTCTATAAAAGTACTTGCTGTATTTCAATGAGAAGGCTTCGAGTGAGGCTGGAGTGGTTCCAGGGTAAGCCTTCTCACTGGCTACCAGAAGTTCTCTGAGTAATGGTTCCTCACCACAGTTTGGCCCTTAGCCTTGGAGATACCGAACGTGAATCTGTCACTTGAGAGTTAACCTTTATCTGGGGTGGACTCCTGTTAAGCAAGCTCTCTGAGACTGGTGTTTTACCAGAATAATACCTATTAATTAAGAGTGAAAGGCAACAGGTATCAAGTAGACCAGAATGCTCAGGTTGGCAGATCAGTCCAGTCTCTTTCTGGAGACAAACCAAATTCTAATCAGAAAGTTGCTTGATGAATAAGCATCATGTGTTAGCTGTGAAGGAGCCCTGCCAGGTTCTGGCCCTTGGGGACCTCTTTTTCCAAGTCTCAGGTGGTTTCGCAAGTGATGGTCCTTTTTTCTCCCCATGGGTTCCCTATCCATCTCGTTTGGTTTTTGTAGACTTTTGTTTTCCCTAGTTGGTTCGGGAATCATGTATACAGAATATGGTTTTCTTGTAAGAACTTCTCTTCTGGAGATACAGGCATAGCCATGTTTTCCTACTCTCCCAGTGGAGAATCTCTACTTGAGGATGACTGCCTCTCTTACTAAATAATTTCAGTAAATCGTAGGCAATATATTCTGCTTTTAGATTTTGATTTGTTGACATGTAAGAATTATTTGCGGCTTTCCAAGTCTTGAGACCACCACCTTTAGTTCCTCCAGGTTGTATTGCTTTTCTTACTAGATGCTCTTTCTGGTGAATCTCTTCATGGCTTCATCTTTTCCCCCATCTGGTTTTTAGTATGTTGAGTCTAGACCTTGTACTGAGCTCCCAACCTATTTTTTCACAACTGGCCATGCCACTTGGAAGTTTCTCAGTACTCCCCAACCTGCTGTTCTGTATGTCTTTCTCAGTGAATAAGAATTCTGTCTACTCAAGTTGAAAACTTAGGTGATACCCTGATCTCCTTATGCCTGTTTGTTTACTGGAGGTTGCCAGCCTCTATCATTTGTATGATTTCATTTGTGTTGTTACATGTGTCTCTTCTTTTTCGGCCCCTGGCTTGGTTCCAATCTGCACTTGGTATCAGCGGGTTATGGCAATGTCTTACTGATCTTGCCTGATCTCTTGCTGCCGGCATATCCTTTTAAAATAAGCAAATTGGACTATCCTGAAAAATTGTTCAATGGATCCCCTTCAATCAGGAGAAAACTGTATCACGCCATGCAAGTCTCTGCCTAATCTAAACATTGCACCTGTCTCCAGCCCTTTTTATTTTTTCCATTTCCTGGAACTAAAAAGTGTGTGTTAAGAAAGCTAATTCTGGCAGCTATTTAGAAGATGCCCTGGAGCAGGTAGGCACCCTGCAAAAATCCAAGAGGCGAGGAAAGACTGAACTAAGCCAATGGACGTGGGGATGAGGAAGCGAGGTGGAAACTGAGAGGTACGTCCTTTCTCTGTAGGCATTATTAGGAGGCTCACAGGCAAGTCCGGGAGCCTGGCTCTGCCCTCCTTGTGCCGTTGAACCAGGCAGCTTTCCCATGACTGTGATGAACAAAATTGAGAATGAGCCCCATCCCCTTTCAGAATGGAGGGTGGGAAGCTGCCTGCCACTTTGGCCACATACTTGCCCCCCTTGACTTGTTAACATATTTGGCTTTTCAGGCCCTGTCATTTCCTGAGATGTCGTTTGTGCACTTTGCTGCTTGTGCTGTTACGCATGCTGAAGTACTGTGCCGGGGCCCTGGGTCTCCGCCATTTGACTCCGCTTCTGCTTCCTTCCCCCAGGAAGCGAGAATGGACAAATGATGTATTTTAGCTACTTGTCAAACTCGGGGTTGATACATACTCAAGTTAACTGTAGAGAAATTGGTTGCAGAATACTTCTCAACAATTTCACCCATTTTCTTGGTCTAGTATCTGCTTTTTTCCTTCAATTCCTTTCAACACTAGGTTCCAATATGGTGTTGCCCCTACTTCCACCTCCTTCACCACACATGCAAATTGTCAGCTTATTTAGGCAACCCACTTAGATTCCTATATGAATAAGGTCAAGGCGGTTTGCATTTGTCATTTTTGAACTCAGTTTTCCTAATTATTTCTTACCAGAAATGATCAAAAAGTTACTTTGTGTTCAACAAATCAAATTGTGTGGTAGAAAATGTGACAGCCAATGAGTCTTCACCCACTTACTGCTCTTTCCAAAAAGTGGAGTCTGTTTCTCCTGAATTTTGGCAGGCCTTGTGGCTGGCTTTGCCTACGAGAGTGCAGTGAAAGAAACTCAGCCTGTGTCCAAGTCCTGGCTTTAAGAGGACTGGCAGCTTCCCTTTCTTCCCTCTTGGGAGCCAGCCACCTTGCCGTAAGGAAGCTCAGGCTGGAGCACCGAGAGATGAGAAGCCATGTGGAGAAAGGCTCTTGAGAATGGAAGACCGTCTTGAAAGCTCTAGCCTCACCTGAACTCCCAGCTGAAATGTGGCTGTCTCCACAGCTACACCACAGAACAGAGGAACCACTCAGCTCATTCTGAACAACTCAGAGCATGAAAAATAATAAACCGTTGTTTTAAGCCACTAGGTTTTGAGGTGCTTTGTTGTACAGCAATAGATAACTGAGACAGATTGCTTGTTATTTGTTTTTGTTTTGGGTTTTTTTTGGTTTTGTTTTGTTTTTTGAGACAGGGTCTTGCTCTGTCACCCTGGGTAGAGTGCAGTGGCGTCATCATAGCTCACTGCAGCCTCAAACTCTTGGGCTTAAGCGATCCTCCTGCCTCCCAGCCTCTGAAGTAGCTGGGACTACAGGCGTGCACCACCATGCCCAGCTAATTTTATCTAATTTGGGTAGAGATGGGGTCTCTTGCTCAGTCTGGTCTTGAACTGACCTCAAGTGATCCTCCTGCCTCGGTCTCCTAGAGTGCTAGGATTATAGGCATGAGCCACCACGTCTGGCCAGATTGCTTGTTATTTATGGTCAAATGGAGACCACAGGTGATTTTAAAAAAAATTATCTGTAGTTCCCATTTTTTCCTAAAATTGATTTGAATTATTAGTGTATTAACAGAATAAAGAACAAACTTTTAAAAACTCACTTATTATATCCTCCCTCTGATTAAAATCCTTGTTGGCCTCTCACTGCTCCTGAGCGTCAAGTTCAAATTCCTTGCAATGGCTTACAAGACCCCGCTTGATTTGGGCCCTGCTCCATCTTTAGCCTTGCCTCATGGCATCCACATCCCCATCCTTTCCACCCGCACTGCATCTCAGCTCCTCCCGCTCACCATGCTTTCGCTCCCTTCAGAGCCTTCATGCACACCGTTTCCTCAGTCTGGAACACCCTGTCATCCTCAAACTCCTACTTAATCACCCTAGGAGTCCCTTCATTCATTCATTCATTCATCCACCAAATATTGGAATGCCTCCTACGTGCCCAGTACTACACCAAGTGCCTGCTGTATAATGCCGGACACAATACACAACATCCCTGCCCTTAAGGAACTTACAGTCTAGTAGTGGAACCCAGCAACTCACAGCAAATAATAAAATTTTTAAAGGGTGTGATAATCTTCTCTTCCAAGAAATCTTTCTGGAACTACTTGACTTTCCTTGTCAGTGCTACATGTTTCCATTAAAACCCTATATTTTTTCTTATTCTAGCAGTTAATATCTTGCTTGTCTGTCCGCCCTGTCTGCTAACCTTACCTGTACGCTCCGGGAAGGCAGGGGCTGTTTGTCTCTCCTGTTCTCTGTCGAACGCCGGGAACTCAGCACAATCTCTGGCCCTTCGCCTCCTGCTGCTATTACTGGTAACAAGTAGCTTTACTGACCACTTACTATGTTCCAGGAACCGTCATGAATTATTTAATACTCACCACAGTGCTATTAGACAAGTACTACTATTAGTCCCGTTTTACATATGAAGAAACTAAGGATTAGAGAAGTCAGTACCTTGGTAACAGATGTAGTTACTGGCAAGGCTATAATTCATACCAAGTCTGTCTGCCAAACACTCTGCTCTTAAACACAACGCTAAACTACTACCCCACAGTTGATGGTACTCACCAAACAGTTGTTGAATGAATGAAATAATAAAAGTTCTTTTAAGGAAAATCCTACTCATAATACCAGTAAAATAAAGCACCGTATTCTGTTGTTCAATTCTTAAGTGCTCTCACCCATAGAAAGGGAAAGTGGCTAAGATTTACAGTTAAAATATCTTTGTTTACTTGGGAGCCAGACTAAAGCAGTAATGTAAAAATCCAAGGCAGCATATTGGCAGAGAAAATAAGGGCTCATTAAAAGCTGGGGATTTTAATTTACCCTGGAAAATTCTTTGTACTCAGGCCTGTGGATCTTTCCCAACACCCATTCTTTTACACTTAGGTTACAGTTTAAACTTTATTATTCTGGGTCCAAGACTCAGAGTCATTCGGTGTGAATGGGCGTGGAACCCTGCGGCGACAGAGGACTGTTTTGTTAAAGGCTTGTGTGCCCTTTGCCTGTTTT